CAGAAATTGTCATTTATCGACTATGGATAGACATATCTAACAATAACATTGTTGCTGAAATACCTACTGAGATCGGCCAATCGCACCTTCTCCAAGGATTGACTCTTGGCTACAACAATTTCTCCGGCATCATTCCAGACCAAATATCTAACCTCAAAAATTTAGAGATTTTGGACTTCTCAACGAATCACTTGTCTGGAATAATCCCATCATCATTGGCAAGCCTTAATTTCTTAAAAGAATTTAATGTCTCATACAATAATCTTGAAGAACCAATACCAACAGGCACCCAGCTCCAAAGCTTCAACGCTTCTGCCTTTGAAGGGAATCCAAAACTTTGCAGTGCCCCACTTTTAAATAAGTGCGGACCAAATAAGGACATGGATGCAGATAACAAGAACAACAATGACGAGGGCAATGGGCATCATCAACTTCCATGGTTTTATATTTTCGCTGTGTTGGGGTTCATAGTAGGATTTTGGGGAGTCTGTGGTTCTTTAGTTATTAACAATACATGGAGATATGCGTATTTTCGATTCATAGACAATCTACAAGATAGGCTCTAAGTTTGTGAGTGATATGTCATGTATTTCTAATTTATATATGGTGAACTACATAGTTGCTTCTAGCTATAATTTAGCATTGTCTACTGAGCAATTACCTTCATTAATCTCTGCTTACAATTCCGCCCTTGAAGAACTGTCAATTCTTCAGTATCGAATTCATAGACTTCTCCATCTTTTCTCCTCTCACGAGTAATCCTTGCCATATTTTTTTCTTTAACCTGTTCTGCTGTCATTGCTCTTTTCTTTGCCCTCTCCTTTGCCTTTTCCTTTTTCTTCTCAGCAGCCCGCTGAAGCTCTTGGAGATGTAATTTTTGCTTTATCTTCTCACAGCTATCCCAACAGAGCTCTTGCTGTCCGCTAAACACATCTAAGTGAAGAACGCATTTTTGCCTTGGACTCGCGCTACATAACAGTCCTTTTTCTTGTCAAATTTTTTGCCTTGGACTCAATTGCTCAGAGCAAGAAATAACTTTAAACAAAGAAAAAAAAAACTAAAATAGAAAATGTATATTTCATCAAAGACGTGCTGCAACCTACAACTATTGGCTTCTATTGGTCACATTATGTTCATGAAACCAAAAAAATCATGTTTACTTTTTCAGCAGGTCTAAAAAACCTTAAACTGACAAGACCAGCCCCGAATGTGGGTTTTTTGTTTGGATGGATGTTGAATTTCCACCTAGAGAGAAGGCTTTGGTGAGTTGGCTACTTAGAAGATTGAAGGAACTTGAAAAGGACGTTGGGCATCGTCAAGCAAGAGAAAGAAAGTTAATGGGTTGGCTTATTCTTTCATGGGGTTTAGTAATGGTGGTTTTGTTTTGGCAATGTCTGTAACAACTTGGCGCAAAATGTGGCCATTTCAATGGAGGAATTAGGCAGATTGTACAAGTCTGTATTTTGCAACTATATGTAAAATATCATGTCTTGGTAGCTATGTAATGATGGAGGAACATGGTTTCCATTTGCAACTGGATGTAACAATGTATTGGTACTTATGTAATGAATGTGGTTGTTGAACACAATGTGGGAGTTACTTATTGGATTTTGACCTCATAAGTAATGGTATGAAAAGCATTACCCAATGAACAGTACCACAAACACTTGCAACAGTTTATAACAGACAATCATGGGTTTTATAACACTGATCAAATCCTCACAGTTTATAACCAGTTTATAACATTACTAATAAAGTTCTTAATAGTGGGACTTGCAAAATAATAGTTCAATCAAAAGCCCATTTCAAAGGGTTGTCCTTAACACTTGTCCTTAACAGTTGTACATGCAAAACAAAAGTGGAATGAAAAGGTCTTCATAAGAGACATTTTAACAAAACACAAAACACTTCCACATGATCAAAATCTCCAAGGCTGATAACCATCCAACAAATCCTTCCGATTGGTAAATTTCTTCCTCTTGGCAGGAGATTTGAACCTCTTTTTGCTTGGACCACTGATAAAAGGGTGTGATAAGCTTGCACTTGGTTGAGATCCTTGCACAAATTGAGAAGTTTGGGTAGGTTGAGAACTTTGGCTATGTTGAGAATTTTGGCCAGTTTCAAAAACTAGACAAGCTTGCACAGATTCAGTTCCTTGCACAGATTGAGAGCCTTGCAGAGTTTGAGAACCTTCCTTCTTTTTGGGGAATTTAATCCTCTTTGCATGAGACTTAAACCTCTTTTTTTTGGGAGTGTCTGAAGCTTGGCCAGTTTGAGATGCTTGGGCAGGTATTGAAGGTGGGGCAGTTTAAGAGGCTGGGGCTGGGGCTGGGACTGGGGCAGTTTGGGAAGCTTGGCCTGTTTCAGAACCATGTGGAGTTTGAGAACACTGGCCAATTTCCAACCTTCTTCTCATCTACAAATTGAAAAGGATTCCAATTTACATCAACTACATCTCATACCTCATCCTCTTAATATCAATAAAAATAAATGAGGCTTACAGTTTGCTTGGCTGTTGATTGTCTTGTAACCCTTTTGGTTGATGTCGTATCTTGGGCAGATTTCTGAACCTTTTGTTTACATGGGACCTATGTTAATGTATGGTTTTTGCTATTTTCTTTTGGCTTCCCTTGACAACTTTGTAATAGGATGTGTATTGTTATTTATCAAGCTCAAGTTTAGATTAAGGAAAACCTTTCTTGGTG